GTACCTTGGTTGTGTTTACAGGAAGATTAGGATAGAAGCCATATTTTATTGTTGTTACAGACTGTTTAAATCAGGAAAGAATTAAAAATTCTTCCATGTTTAACAATCCTTCCCCCCATGTGTGGGGGGGACTCTAAAAACAATAGGGCCTTATTCTGTACCTTCCTAAGGTGCAGTTGCCTTTTCTATTTTTGTTTTGTTTTGTTTTTAATTAATGTAAAGGAATGATATTGTTGATATTTTGTGCAGAGAATGGAAAATCAGGAGAAGGGCTGGATTACTTTTTCTTTTTTCATAATTTGTATAAAAGTCTCTTGCATCTAACAGGTGGATAGTTTCTTTCTGTTTCCTTAATTCCCTAAATCATCTTCTGTCTTCTTTTGTTGTGATCTCAAACAAGCCTTTGATAAAACAAGAGGGAACAAATTTTCAATAGGATCTCTTTATCTTGGAAAAACATCCACTACTTTGGGAGTAGGACTGAGCTTACAATTAACCAATCAAATATTATTTGGAAATAATCAAGGTTAAAAAAAATGATTAAGTATAGTTAAGAAATTCTTCATTTAATATAATGGGAGGTGCTCCAGTTTCAGTGGAGCTTGCTCATGAAATGGGGTTTTATTGGAAGGATTAATGAGGAAAGAGAATTTCATCAAAATTCCAGAGCAGAAATGGTAGCATGGCCAGGCTTCTCAGAGGCCCAAACTGGAAGGTTGTTCATTCTTGACCAGAGGATATTCCATCAGGAAAACCTTGATAATAACCCTAATTTTTTGTCATTATTCTAACTCTGCTAAATTCTGAATGTTGGCTTCTGCGTACTCCTTCCAACTATTGGTTTCCTTATTTTCTGTTCTTTATCTGTTTGATAACCAAGAACTTTTGCTGCCTCCCAGTTTCCACTTCTTCGTAACTTTGGTTTACTCTAATGTTTCATGATATGTCTGGTCTCCTTTAGCAAGGCAATGTGGATGTGGTCATCTGCCTAGAAAGTGTAGAAATGGAAAACACCATGTTTGACTTCAAGCTGCACATACTCTCCTTTCCCTTTCTGCGATTTCATCTGTGCTTCCTGCCAGACATAATCGCACTATTATGTATACATTCACAAATGAACCCACTCTCTTCTGGGTGGGATGATGATCATTCCGTTATTACATCCAGAGATTATAACTCCCACCACTGTCTGTGGATCCCTGAGTTCTATTTCCAGGTGATATTCATTCTCCTTCAGTTCTATTGCAATCTCATACACAGGTATGATTTCTTGTGGTTCTGCTATTTATAGATTAAATGGTAAACGGAACCACTACCCAATCACCGACAGAACAACTGTAATAAAATTTTCACTTGGAAAAAAATGGGAAAAGAAGAAATCTCTGGTCTCAATTTTTATACCTATGTATTCAGGCTACAGAAAAAAAAAGTTTACTTAATTCTCAAAATGGTTAAATATTTAACAGAAATAAAACTGTGGATCAGAGAATAAGAGAATTGATCAGGTTAGTAAATTAGAAGGTAAGTAAATTTGAGAGATAGAATGAACCCAAATGTTCTGGCATCAGGTCATCTCTATTTTTTTACAGTAGAGTGATTCACTTCACATATTTAGAATTTGTAATTTTCACAAGGGCTCAAGACCTTGACAGTTTTGTAGAAGTAAACCCTAACATATATGATACAAAGTGGTAGGCTTTTAATGAGCTTTTGTTCTTTATGAAAAATTGATTTATAAAGTTTGCAGTGATATGGCTGTTTATTAGTTGAAATTGTTTTCTGCTCTTTAATCTGAGGTTGCTAAAGTTAAATTAATAAGACAATGAAAATCTAAATCCTGGCCAATCTGCTCAATTGAGACTTGATTCACATTATGAATATATTCACTTTGTATAGTAATTGGATGCCCAAGCAAATACATATTTTCTAAGTATATACAGAGTTGTGCAACCGCCACCACAGTCAATTTTAGAACATTTTCATCACGTCAAAAAGAAACCCCATATCCATTAGCAGTCATACTTCGGGTGGGGCAGCTACTAATGTACTTTCTGTCTCTATGAATTGCCTATTTTGGACATTTCATGCAATATGTGGTCCTTTGTGACTGGCCTCTTTTACTTAGCATAATATTTTAAAGATTCATCTATATTGTAGCTTGTATCAGTATTGCACTTCTTTTTATTGCCAGTAATATTCCATTGTATGGATATACAGCATTTTGTTCATATATTCATCAACTGATGGGCATTTGGGTTGTTTTTGCTATTGAATTATAATTCATTATTGTGAACAATGCTGCTGTGAACATTTGTATATAAGTTTTTCTATGGAGTATGCTTTCATTTCTTCTGGGTATAAATCTAGGAGTGGAATTGCTGGATTATATAGTAACTCTATGTTTAATCATTTGAGGAACTGCCAGACTATTTTCAAATCAGCTGTGCCATTCGATAGTCTTACTAGCAGTGTGTGAAGCTTCCAGATAGGTAAATTTTTCAGGTGAATTTCCACTGCAGAAAACATTTTCTCAAATGTAATTTCATTTGAATTCTGTAAGATACAATACAGTGTTTCAATTTATATTTTATAGAGTTGTTACTTAATTAAGAAACAAAACTATGACCATCAATTGGAACTTATAATTCAGCAATTCGTTTTGAAGAGGGATAACTTCTTAACAATAAAGCTGTCAAGTGACAAACATTTCCTTTTGTGAATATTATTCAAGGCATTTGAGAGGAATATTTTGGCAGAGTCCTCTATTGTACTGGTACCCAAATTTCAGTGTACATCAGAATCACCTCGTGGTCCAGGGACCACCTTTTAAAAACCAGTATTCATTTGGGTAATATGTTGGACTGCCCATCCTCTATGGTAGTGGTTCTCAACCTTGACTTGCATGTCAGAGTCACTGGAGAGGTTTAAAAGAATCCCAATGCCTAAGCTATACCTCAAACCAATTAAGTCAGAATATCTGGATGTGGGACCCAGCAGCATTTTGAATAGCACTACACGTTGTTTCATTTGTTGCTGAAATGTTGTCTAACTATTTCCATGGTTCTACATAACAAAAATTTATTGTTATCACTTATTAGCATCAGGATAGAATTACCTTTGTAAACTCTATCATCATCTCATGAAAAACAAAGAAAGACTTGGCAACTATCACAGACCTTAGGAGACTAAAGATGGTTGTGTGGAAGTGTTACCTTCATTTGAATTCTGGAAATGAGAAAGGACATCAATGTTTTACCAAATGTATCATGGTTATGGCAGATACTAGCATTAGGAGAAGCTGAGCGAAGGGTATTATGGGGATTCTCTGTACTGTCTGTGCAATTTTTCTATACATTTAAAATGATTGCAAAATAAGGGTTCTATTTTTTTAAAAATCTATCATCCTCCAAACCTAAGTGAGGAGCAAAATCCATTAAAGAGTTTGTCATTCTTCATTCCAAATACGTTTACTAACATTTGGTTTTTTTTTACAATTATAAAAGTTAAATCTTTCACGAAGGCATTGTCATTAATCTCATTATAAACTCAACTAAGAAATGCTACTTTTATTAGTCCATGTAGGCTGTCATAACAAAATACCACAGACTGGGTAGCTTACACAAAAGAAATTTATTTTCTCATAGTTATGGAGGCTGAAGTCCAAGATCAAGGTACTGACAGGGTTGGTTTCTGGTGAAGCCTCTCTCCTTGGCTTGCAGATGGCCTCACTGTCCTCACATGGCCTTTCCTCTGTGTATGCACAGAGAGAGAGAGATCTCTGGTGTCTCTTCCTTACCTTATAAGGACACCAGTCCTACAGGATTAAGGCTCCACCTTTATGACCTTGTTTAACCTTTATTATCTCTTTATAGGCCCTGTCTCCAAATCACACTGGGAGTTGGGGCTTCATCATAATTCAGTCCATAATAGTACTATCTATGAATGATTTCCCCCATTTTCAGATTTTACAAACTAGTGATATTTGATTTTACATTGCTGAGGATAATACAAACACATTTCAAACTCACTGGCAACCTTTGTCCTTTGAAGCTGTCTCTTTGTTAAAATTGAATTCTGTATTGTAAAATTTTTTGATTTGAATAATTTCTAAAAGTTCCTAGCTATGTTTATTATTCCTGGAATGACATATTTTAATAATTACATTTAAAAATCTTCTAATCATATTAATTCCACTGACTGTTTACCTAGTATCATTTTTAACTCTGCTATATGTTTTGTGAAGCATCTATTTTAAAACTAGAAGATGATTTTCCATACGCCAGAGATGATAATACGTGAACAAATCTTTTTCTCTTCCTGAAGAGCTATCTACAAATGGAAAGAACAGTCTGTTTAAGAATGATAAGGCATGATTAGGATCTAAACACTCCTCCTGGTTTCCATGTCTCTCCTATATTAGTTTACTAATATGGAGGAGAAAAAGGAGCTCAAGCTTTCACTATTCCTGCTTTAGAATTTTTCTCTGTTTCATAGGAAAAAGCAAATATGCCTATACTTTGTTAATCATAGTGACATGTTCAGATTAGCAGAAATCTAGGTCAAAGTTCTGCAATCTTCAAAGTATTGCTTTTCATTAAAAATAAAATAAAAACTGGAATTTCTCCAAGCAACCCATGGGTAATTTTCATTAAGTTGATAAACTCTCAGATATACTGCACATGAAAAGCTTTCTAAAATGGCACTGCTGCTGTGAAAATGTTACTGGAACCAATTTCAGATGATTTCTGCCTTTGATAAAAAGTATTCTATTATAGCATTAGATAATATGTCACATGCCTATAGATTATTCTTAAAGATATGACAGTAGTCTTTGTGAAGGAATAAAATAGTACATGTATTCTATTTGTGTATCTGTGCTGAAACCAGGCAAACATAAAGAGGTTCATGTTAACTGAACAGAATTTTAATTAAACAAGAGATTTCTAAGTGGTCTCGATTTTAAGTGCCAAATATTTCAAATATTTCCTTTGCTTTCTCAGGCTAGATGGCCAGGTCAATGGATCTACCGATGCTTTAAACAACAGGTCTGCTAGAACCACTGCATATTCTTATGAAGCCAGGAGGAATTTCAGGTACTACTGTGGGTCAATTATAAAACAAATTACAGAACTATTCTTCTCGTTTTTGTTTGTTTGTTTGTTTGTTTTAATCTCATATACAACTTGACCCTTCTTTTGAAATGCAGAAATTTCTAATTTTATCAGTGGCTAAACAGGCTTAAAGAATGGTGTTGAGTTAGCAATTTAGTCATTTGTAAATTATGGCAGGAAAGTGGAAAATGTGATTTTTTTTTTCCCCCTGAAAAGTCTACAATTTTTTTCTTTTAAAAAGCATGATTGTGAAGTCGGTGTGGACTTTATTCTTTATGTAGATTTTAAAGTTTCATTAAATCAGATGTTATCATGTTAGTTAATTAAAGTCCATTTTTGTTTGAGATTTGTGGGGAAAGTATGTTTGGAAATATGAATGAGTCATCAGGGAAACAGACACTAAAATATATTACACAAATATTCAAAATAATCTTCATGCTCTGAATCAGATTTACTGAGTAACTAGTTATCACAATAGTGTTCTAAAAGTAGATCAGGCCCGTGATGACTAAGAACAAAATGGGAGACATGAAGAAATTTTGCAGAAATGAATTAATACCACTTTAACATTTATATTTCAAAGGTTATAGTTTAGAAGGAATATATAAGCATTTTTTTTTTGCATTGGATCAGATAATAGCCTTGTTATTTTTATTATTCTTATAAATAAACTTTAAACATAAAGTAAAATGGTTTGTATTGCAGTTCCAATCCTGAAACCAAGTCTGCAGGACCAAATGATACTGTTGTATACACAAGGACATATGTGGAGAATAGGTACTGGAAATCTATCATCTATCTATCTATCTATCTATCTATCTATCTATCTATCTATCTATCTATCTTAATTAGTTTCAAGTATATAGTACATTGGTTAGACATCTATATAGTTCATAAAATGATCCCCCCAATTGCTCCCTCCCTCCCCTGGCCTTCTACATAGCCAACATATTAATGCTACCTGCATTCCCTAAATGTTTTGCTATTCTTATCTTACAATTTTGAAATTATATATGTTTAAGAAATGCTGTTATTTTAGAATATGCTTCCTTTTTTCAAATAAAAGATCGTTTAAGAGTACATTGAATTCTAAGTATATAATTCTTTATAATGTTTCCAATATCAAGTAGTTGTCAAATAATCATAAAAAGTCATTGGATGGACTAAATAACATTTTAATATAACACATGTATATGTAACAGGATAGACATTTGAAAGTTTTCACATATGTTTATGTGAGAATATGACTACATGTTTATAATAAGCTTTATAAAATCATGCAAATATTTCTATGCTAACTTGAAGTCACCCTTTAATTCACTGGTTCTATCTACTACTATTTACCTCTAATCTGAAATAAGGAATATAACTTTTGGTAAACATACTCTGGCCCAAATTACAGGAAACTGATGGCCTACAAAATCTGCTGGTTATGCAATAGGTGTTGAGAGAAATGTTAACTAAACTCAGGGATTAGCAGCCCACTCCATTTCCAAGGAATATAAAGACAAGGATTAGCCTAATCGTCGGGTAACATGATGATGGGGCTCCAGGAAATTCAGTAAATTCAGTGTCAGGTGAGCAACGATCCAAAAAAAAAAAAAGTTTCTCAAATCAATACATAATGTACCTTGTGAAATACAACCCTCGAATTTGATTTTTCCACTTAATCTAATTTTCCTTAAAATCTACACTGACTGCAGTATAGTATAGAGGCCCTAGAATCAAATTTGAGATTGAATCTTTATTATTTGCTGACTGATCATGTGGTTTTGGCAAAGCTACTTAACCTCTTCGAGTCTCAGTTTACTTATCAATAAAATGAGAGTAATGATATATGTATCATATATAAACGTGTAAATTCTTATTTAGCATTGTGGGTTATATGCTCCACAAAGTAGATTCTATTTCTAACAGCAGTCTGCCTACGGGCTGTAAGAGAGTTCTCATTAAAAAATCCCAAGTGAGGGCTGTGGAATTATCACTCACGGGATGAATCAATGGGAACATATTGCTTCCAGTCCTAATACACTCACAGGTAGCATATGTACTTGGGAAGCAATTATGAGCAGCCAGTTGGTTAGTGCATTACAGATTTCAGTTTTCCCCAGAAAGAGTGACATTTACAAATGGGAGCAATCTAAGAAATGGAACAAAGAGGACTTTTTAAAATTTTAAATTATACTTTTTCCTTTTTGCTTCCATGCTAAACTAATCTTTCTTAGATAATTTCAAGTAAAAATAATTTCTATAGCTTTTTATAAAAATTCAAGAGTCTCTATTTTTTTGCGTGCAAAATAGTATGTATGTATGTGTACTTTATGTGTTTCCTTTCTGTGAGACTACCTATAGCTTTCCTTCAGTAAATAAATGAGGAGGTGCAAGCATAAATTTCATTAACAAATGACATCTTTTCCTGATCACTCTTGTTCCTACTCTCCTTGCCCCATTCTCTAAATTTACTTCAGTAGATATGTCAGCCTATGTCAACTTGGGGTGGTTTGTGTATCAATATTTTTCAAGATTAAAAAAAAAGTTGTTAATAAAAGTAGTATCAATATTTTTCCAGATTAAAAAAAAAGTTGTTAAAATAAAAGTTGTTTACTGGCTTGTAAAATCACTAATAATAATAATAATAATAATGATAATAATAATAAGGCTGAATGAGGAGGTGTGTTTGCTTTCTCACCTGCATACAAGTATATACATCAATACTAGGCAAATAGCCCAGTTCTCACATGTCCATATATGTTGTTTCTAGTAAATCACCAAAGGATGAATATCAGGATAATGCCTCTCGAAAATACATACAAACTGTTTATTCAACTTCAGATAGGTGAGTATGTCTATATTTCTATACATAAATGTCTATATATACACATTTATATAGACATGATATATGTATTCTTGTATGTTGTACTTGGAAATGGTGCTCCTGATGGTGATTTTTATGTATGTGTATGAAGTACAGCAACCTCTGCATCCAGGAATTTGTTCCTTGGCTTCCTGGCTGTTTCCAATGCACTTTATCTGATAGAGTCTCCCGTGCCTTACGGCTGCCTCCTAGGCTGTCCCCTCTACGGTCACTGATTCTCAGGAGTCCCCTGCACAGCCACATTATTAGAGTCTCAGTTTCATTACATCACTAGCCTGTGCCCTCAGTCCTCCCTTCTGGAGATTTTCCCAAGCCAGCTCACCTTACAAACAGCTGCATGGATATGCTGCTATGACCCACTCTGGGCCCACGCTCAGTTCCCAGGAGGGCATTACAATGAGTATCAATTTTGTGCTGGTAAAATGACCCCAGGCTTTTGCTGTTGGTGATGATCTTTTACCATTTAATGTTCAGTGAGGCACATAGATGACTCTCATGGGAGTGTGGGCGGCAGATTTCCAGTGGAGGAAATGAAAATAAATAATTAGTATTTCAACCCAACCACTGGAAACCAGTCGTAATGCAAATGTCTGATACTCTACTGATGATGTTTCTCTATAGTAGGGGCTGGGAATAAGGCTCATTGAGGGCAAGATGTATTTTATTTTTATGTACAACCTCAGCTTGTAATGCAGTGCTTGTCACTTAACAGGAGATACTCAATAAATGTTTTCTGAAAAAAAAAAAAAACCCACTAATTTCCTATTTGCTAAGGGAAACCTCGATAGACCAGGCATCAAAATTATATCCCCTTTCTGTCACCATTACCAATGTTCTTCTGAGTTTCTGGCCTTTAAGTCATTGCTCTTTGAGGAGCAAAGTCAACTACACAAGCATTAGAAACAAAAGTAGTCTATGCAACCAAAAAAACAGAGTTAGGTTCTTTATAATGCTTTGAAAAGATCCTTAAATAACAGTATGATTTTAACAAGGATACCACCTATATCAGAGCTTTCCTGGGCTCATATTTTTATTGTTAACATAAGGAAGGAAAACATTCTTTATAAAAACATTGCTCTTAATATGAAGAATTTCAGTCTTGTTCCTCAAGTGGTCCTTGAAATTTTGCTTAGTCATCAGTGCAAAAGTCAATTCTTTGTTAAGACCAGTCGGTCAAGCAACTTCTGTTGATTATTGTGTGAAATGAGCCATGCCCTCACAGCTCTTGTCTAAATATATTAATTCCATTTAAGAAGCTTCCCACTTTACAGGATAAAGACGGATTCCTTTGCACATTATCTATGGGTCTTCAGAACCTGCTCCTGTTGAATACTGACCGATATTTGATCAGTCCAGACGCCCTCATTTGTGCAGCACTTTGGCACATCCTTCTTCCTCTCCTTGGAATCCCCCATCATGCCCTTCCCCACCTCACTCAGCTCACCGTGAGAGCTCCTTTATCTTCAAGCTGTAACTCACACGACAGTTTCTCTGACAAGCCCTTCCTGCCTTCACCCCAGGGATTAGTTGCTCCCTTGGCTATGCTCTCCTAACTTTTTCCATATATCTGTAATATGCTGTGATCATCAACTCACACACCTGGCTACCCTAGTAGAAAGAAAGCTTCTCATTGGAGGGAACTGTCTCACTCTTCTTTATATTCCCAGCTCCTAACTAAGGGCCTCTGGAATGGAAGAATGATAGGGAATGCCTGTTTTCTACTCTCAAAGTGCTTATATGGGACATTTAAGTTTGTGTGTGTGTGTGTGTGTGTGTGTGAATAATCCACAGGAAAATATTTGCCAGGAATATATAAGCAAGTAGCTATAGAATTAGATGAAAAGAGGAAATATATATATGGGTTAAGAAAACGTTAGTGAAATGACCGAATGTATAAAAGCATACAAGGTTATCTACTCCAATCCCTTTCCTCTCCCACCTCCTCTTCCCTTCTATTTTCCCTCCTCTCTGCTCCTAGTCCTGGGCTTGATAACAGGATCCCGGCTCCTGGGGCATGACTACTTCATTTCGACAAAGTGAGCCCAGTAGTCATTGTGGGCAGGCCCAAAGGTAGCATGGGAACTCTGGGGCCATGCTACCTTTATTTAAATCCTGTCTCTGCTGTCCACTGGCTGCATGACAGGTACTCTTCTGTGCCTCCGTTTCCTTTTCTGCAAAAAATGGTAAAAACAATAGTATATGCTTCTCAGAGATGTGAAGAATAAATGACTTTATATAAATCAAGTGCATGGAAAATGTACTGCATATATTAAGCATACTAACACTGTGTATTGGTTATTTTTGTTTCACTACCCCATTATGTACCAACTCTAGAAACTCTTACATGCCAACACCCTGAAACTAGTAAACTGCTCAAGGTGCTATTTAAGGCTGTCCTAAGACCTTCTAAAAGGAAAAGAATCACATCATGATTGGCTTTTCTTAAAACTCTGATTGTGACCCAAGTTCTTTTGGACTTGCCGATCATATCTACAGTTCATTTATTATTGAACATTATTTTTCCAAGATAAATAACAAAACTTGTTTCCAACAAATTTGTGTGTATGGGGGTGAGTTACATCATGTTAGAGAATGTAAGTTTTTTCATAAAAGGTAGCCCAGTATTCTGACTTTTACAAGGACACCAAAAGTAGAGTCATAGGAGAGTATTTGGTGACTCTTGAACCTAGAGTCTAGGGTCCTACAGACCCATCATTTTTGAATTTACCAACACACTCTGAATAGTTTTCTATTTTTGTCCTGTTAAATGTTTCGAGAGCTAAAATTTTATATTAATCTACAGTATAATTTTTCTATGATATATGTAAATTAATAATTCAAAGCCCTCTTTGAGCTTTAAAAGGTACTTATGACCTAGTTCAATCAGGAAACTGATTATCTTGGCTCTGCCAGATGCACTTTTGATTGCTAATGAATTAATAATTTGAGGTTTTCCTTTATGTTAATTCTTTGCTATCATTTTGAGGTAATAGAAAAATCAATTCCAACACTAAAATAAGTCCTAAACTTTCCTTGATTTTTACACAATTTCCTAGAGTATCAACAAAATTAACGTACCATTTTCCCATGACTTTATGGGGAACACCTCTGTCTTTTGCTTTAAGACAAATTTATTTTTAATTGCTTACCTCTCTATAGGTCTGTCATTGAAAGAGATATGTGCACTTACTGTCGAAAACCCTTGGGCACAGAAACTAAAATGATTTTAAATGAATTACAGATTTGCTGCCATTCCACTTGTTTCAAGGTAAGGATGTGTTTATTGTATTTAACTAAATATAAAATTAAATAATGACTGGAATAAAAAATATTTAATGAAATACATGAGATGAAAAGCTTTCAGAAACACTCTCATCCACATTAATAATGCACTACTTAAATATTTCTCAGAGTTCTGCAGCCTAACCTCAAAGGATTATAATTACTCTCTTGGCTTTAGGCTTAGAGTTGATTACTGACATATTTATTACTCTTACCCTAGAGATTTAAGTCTATAAAAAAGATAAACACTTATTCTCTTTGTAAAAGTTTTTGCAAATAAATCATACTTTACATAAAATATATAATGAAGTCCAAAAAGGAAAGGAAATCATTGAGAAGAAAGGTAGCAGCTCCTTATATTATGAAGTTAGGACTGATGGGCTTGACCATAGTTGAAATTCAGTCTGCTTTTGAGAGCACAATTAATTATAATTAATTGTGGCTTAGTATAATAACAATAAAGCTTAAATAATAGAATGCTTCACAGTTCATGTTCTCATATTTCATTGCTTTTAATTCTCACAATAATATTGGGTAGGTCAACATTACAGTTTTTGGTGTAACTGGATGAGCACTGAACTAGAAATCTAAGACCTGAGTTCAAGTTCTAACTTCATTACTAACTGTGGCTGTGTGACTTGTGGACAGTCACCTAAATTAGTTTGGCTACAGTTTCCTCATCTGTAAAGTAGGATAGCTGGCTAGAATAGTGATTCTCAACCATGGCTGTACATTATAATCACCTAGAGAAATTAGGAAAAAAATAGAATGTCTGGGACCCAATTAAATCAATAATCTCAGAGATGATTCCTGGGCATTGGAACTTTAAAAAACTCTTTCGATAGATCTAATGGGCAACCAGTTTGAGAATGACTTGCCTAAATCTATGTGTTCTTTCTATGCTGATATTCTATGGTTGATACAAATTATCTAGTTCAGTCAAATAAATATAATAATTTGATGACTAATTGCTTCTCTTCCAATTAGCTTCAGACAGTGACACATAGCAATCAGAAATATGATGCCTCATCTTGAGCAAAAATATCTAAATTTATGCCATAATATATAGAATTCTATGTAAAAACATATTCTTGAAATTTCACAATTATTTAATTATGAGAAAATAAAATTTTCTTTTAGTTATTAAAATCTCAATGAAGAAAAAGTTAGGCTATAGATCTTTATTTAAATTACTATGCAGAAAACTTTATGAAACAAGAAAATTCTGGTTATTGGTTTTAATAAATGCAAATAATTTCCATTTAGTATTTTGGATAATTATTTCCATTTTCTATTTAATTATAAAATACTACTAAGAATAAAAATATCCCCACACTCCTAGAAAAAGATAGATTATTCTATAGCCATGATAATAGAGAACCACGTGGACTGGTGTAAACATGTCGAATTGATCAATGACAATTTACTTCATTAAACTCTCCTTGAAAGCCAGCCAGTTGGTGACAGCCTCATAACTTGAAAGTCGGCCACTCAGCACTGAACTTAGTCCAGTAAACACAGGACTAAAGGAAATGTCAACCCTCGCTTGCCACCAAACCAACACAACTCAAAACAAACTTTCCTCTAAACTTCATGTAAGATCAGAAGTTTGGTTAATGTTTGCTTAACATCCAGTTTGTGTGTCTGGACAGTATAGAACTCCTTTAGTAAGCAAACAATGTTTTTCGTTTGAGATATCGAATGGTGATCTTGTTCTTGGCATAACCAATTTTTTTTAATTTATGTATTTAAATTAGTTTCAAGTATACAGCACATTGGTTAGACATTGATATAGTTCATAAAACAATCCCCCACAATTGCTCCCTCCCTCCCCTGGCCCTCCACCTAGCCATCATTTTAATGCGCACTGCATTCTCTCTGCCATGCTCTCCATCCCTGTAACCAACTATCAGCTACTAATTTGTACTTCTTTAACCCTTCATAACCAATTTTTGAAAATTTCTATCCACTCTATAGTGAGTTAACTGGAAACTTTGGTGGTAGATATTCCCTGAAATGCACACCTACATAGTAGAGAGTTGTGAGATGTATGTGAAAAGTTCGTCATGTGGATTATGGACAAGTACACTGTCACTTTCCCTGTGGGTTCTCATGAGGCCTCATCTGAGTGTTGCTATGAAGAATAGTCCCGAATGAACTGAAAGGACTTTCTATCCTGATATACTTTATATGTTATGTAAACTTTATAATTTTTTCTTTAGTGTGAAATATGCAAACGGCCCTTGGAGAACCTACAAGCAGGAGACAGTATTTGGATTTATAGACAGACAATACACTGTGAACCTTGCTACTCTACAGTTATGGGTAAGTGTTAAGCTCTATTAGCATTTAACATTGTTAAAAATGAAGGATTTCAATCTAGTAAAAAATATTTTATTAATTATATTTAGTTAAGAATTCAGCTGCAGATAGTATGGTAGTATTTTTCGTTTTATGGTATGAAAGCAGCCAATGTTTATATAGTCTTCTGATGTCAGACCAGGCATAGATACAACTAAGCAAAAAGGTTATTTATTTTAGAAAATTTTGTATTTTTTTCCAAAATAAAAGAGATCTCTGCTGAAATAATTGTTGGAATTGAAGTCCATCTGTGAATGACCTTTTACATTTACACCAAAATGTACTTATTTTACTTAACTTGATTATTACGCTAAATGCCTTTTAATGTTATTTTAAATGGGAATTTAAAGCTAATTCTATATAATTCTATATTAAATATAGCATCTAAGTATTTTTATCAATTTAAGACCAACATGACTATAATTTGGGCTCTTCGTTAGCATAAATGATGTGAGAAGAAAACATTAATGACCTGTATTTTAAACTCACGTTTTCTATAAACTTAGCATGAAAGCTTTAAAAGTTGATTTAAAAGACATTGACAGTGCCTAATAAGTTAGTAAAATAAAATTCTAAGGAACTTGATTAATTTTTAAAAGCCAATAATAGCATTTTAGTTTTAATTCAATAGTAAGTAAATAGAATAACCAAGATGATATTGGGGAGGTGGTCAACAGCACTACCTGACAAGCAAGTTTCCTGATGTCTTAGTGTGGTGAATGAAAGAGGAACATTCTTACATGGAATTCAAAGTAGGAATTTAGAAACAAATGTGTAATATAAATGAAGTACCGGGAAGCTACATCTGGGAAATGCTCTGAAAAATATTCAGAAACCCACGTTCCATCAGGTTGAAGAATCAATTACAAGAACAAACCTAATTATATTTATACTTTGCCTTCTATTTTCTGCTTTTCCCAGCCAGTTCTCATATTCCTTTTTCTTCTTAATTTAGCAGCCTTATTATGATCCAATATTATATCAAAGGCCTGATATGCATGGTGGCAGTTCTAAAACTTTCACTCTCCCAGAAGTCCATGATATGGCTTTGGAGATGTGGCCACTGAAAGACTCAGAAGTCATCGTGTTTTCTTCCCTGTCTTGTGCACTCCATAGGCATTGGATTTTATAGTACTTTTAAGTACATTTAAATGTCAAGACACGACTCTTATGCATCTCATAAATATGACTACGAGGCATCGGTCCTTCATATTTATGATGTGACCAAAAACCATAGTGATGACTGCAGTAGAAGGAAAAAGTAAAATTCTGAGTATACCATGACTCCCTTGATGAATGATTATTTAAAAAATTTTAGTTATAGGCTAATTTTTGTACTGAATTTGCATATCTAACTGTTATTTTCTTTTAAATTTTCAGCAAAGTGGAATCAGTAATGCTGGCACATGGAAATCAAGATGAAAGTGTTCATAAAGGAATTAAAATTTTAAAGAACGTGTAATCTAGAAAAGCTTTTACATGGAAAATTGACTTTCATATACAATTAACAATTCTGCTATTGCATAAATAATCTAAGTGCCTTCAATAAGGTCATATACATAAAGGGAACCATCTGTTATCTGTCTAGATTTAGTCATGCAAAATTCAACTGGTTTCAGTTACCAGTGTCAAAGGAATGATGCTCCTGATGGCAGTGAGTGTTGTAAACCCTAACCAGGTCCACCTCTGATCTGTATTTAGGCTATGCATCATGGTTTTCGCTATAGATAAGTTTTTCATTTTCTCACCTTTTTTCCCCTAAGACTTTGGATTTGTAGACATTATTGAAATCCTGACAAACTGTTAAGAAAACAAGACATGTTTCCTTTATGTGCAAAAAGAAATATTGATAGAAAATTTTCTATAAAGTTTAGCTAAAAGATATTGACATATAAAGTTATATGGACCTCAGAAAATCAATTGACATTTCTGGGTGTCTGTGCCTTTATCTGTAACATGAGAGGCATTGCACAAAATTGTTCCTAAGGCCCCTTTCTGCTCCTAAAATTATTTGATTCTAAAGCAAGTTTCTGTGTACTCTTTAGAAATATATCTGGATATGTGTTTGTTAATTGTATTGAATTAGAGAGGACATCTAAACAATTGAACCTTCGTATCATCCATCATTTTATTGCAGATATAATTTTTAAAGGATATATTTTAAAAACAGAAAGACATTGATTTATGGGTAATGGGTAAAATCATATGACATATATTTTACATATTATAATTTGTTAAATTTTTTTGCATGTATTTCAAAATCTAGGTACATAAGTAACCTATGAGAAAACAATGATTATGGACTATAAAGATATGTTACATCTATTAGCATGTTACATTTATTCATATTGCCTAGCACTTTATATTTACAGATGCCTTGTAAAAATAAAATGAACTATCAGTGACGCAATCTTTTTGTGGAGTGTCTATAAAGACTATTAACTGACATTGATTTTTGTCAATTATAGTGATCATAATTTATTATATTCCATGCCATATTGGTTAACTTAATTATTTAACTTCTTGAGCTACAGCTTTTATTCTTCAAGAGCTTTTTCTTAAGGAATTGAAAATTCAATGATCATATGTGAGGAGCTAGTATTATTAAGATTGAGAAATTGAACTTACAAACTATTTTATATGCACATAGCAACTGCTTCTCAAAGGAAAGCATATGGAACATTGAAGAGAGGGTAAATTTGGGGGAAGTTTAAGGCAGCTGTGAAAAACTGACATAAACTAGGGAGATTAAAAAGATAGTCATGTATTTTCCAAGTGTTGATAAATTTAAAGAATTATTCTTCTGTATATTGATTCCAAGCATCTGTTCCTCTTAGAGACCGGTTTACAAAGTGTTAAACACAAAATGCTTATTAAAATACAGCAATGTATAATTGTCGTCCTATGGAAAGGGAGCCAGAAAAAACAATTAATAATAATTTGATATTCATTAATTCATGCTAGATGAGAAGCAGTGGTAATTGAGCCATGTGTTTTATTGTTCTTTTATTACATGCTTTCAGAGTGGATCAAAAGAAATAATTTTCTTAGAGTTGAAATTCATGGCAGAAAAGGGCGGATGGAATAATATCCCTCCTTTTTATATAAAATGTATTAACATCTCAATGCCTTTGTAGTAATTAAAAATCATTTGAATATCATTTTTAAAGTATTCTACTTTAGAATGCTTCATTAAAAAAAAACTGAAAGGAACATATTTCTCACTTTTCTAAAGCTGTTTAATGGACTCTTTCTTCTACAATAATGTATTAAATTAAACCAAAAGCTGTTGTAAAAATAGGATAAATAAGGAGTGGAGAGAGAAGGGCTTCTGATTCACCAAGTCCACTTCATTATGTCTGGGTTTATTCATGCCATAGGAATGACAGATTGCTAAAACAATTTGGAAGACCTCTTTTTATTGCAGCCAATTAAGTATATTATGATTGGCATACTTTTCCTGGACACAATTGTCTAAATTTCAGAATACCAAATCTTGAATTCTATTACTAATTAAGAGATGTCTCTAAAGGAGAATTAATTGCTCTAACAGGACAATATCCTTCTAAAAAAGCAAAATGGAGGAAATATAATAGTCTTAGAAATAGAATTTGTTAAAATAGTATTCTTCCATTTAATAAGACCAAAAAATAAAAATTTATTCAAGAAGTAATCTGTGCATCCTTAGTTGTTTGACTGCAATCACTTTTATAATGAGATCTGAGTGAGGAAATGGTCCAGCTCTCACTGTCATTTATTCTCTGACTTGTTTACTACAATGCAAAATCATGAGCATTTGGAACATTTTCCGGCTCAGCTTGATTCAGAACTCTACCAAAACAAGTGACTGTTTGGTCTACAACATGGCAAACTAACAGTGACCTTTTTTATTTATTTATTTATTTATATCTTTGGTACTGCTGAATTTACTGGTTATTTTGGTACAGTGTAAATAAATAGCTTTTAGAATTCCACCTTTTCCAGAGTAGAAAACCATTCCCAGAGGCACCCATAAGTAGCTGTTTTAACTTGGGTAGGTCTTTTCCCACATGGGCCTATTCCCTGCTATTTAAAATGTGAGAGTAGGTTATTAGCTTTCAAATGTATCCATCAGCTCAAACACTGCATGGATCTATTAATTTATCCCTGCCGCTCATCCCATTCTTAGGTGTCTCTTTTGTTAGGTGCCTAAGAGTTCAGTGTTTTGTATGTACTTTAAAATCGCACATTGACTTTATCACAAGAGTTGGACACCATTCTGAATCTTATTTACTGGATATTTGTCCTCCCATTTGAGAAGTATGGTTTCTAAGATATTACTGAAATTTTCAAATAAATGAGTTAGATAATGGTTTCAGTTTTTTTCACTATAAGAGAGAAAACTGAGCATCATCATTACTTGATAAATGCCATCTAGGAGGCATCTTTTACTTCATTGCCTCTGTATTCTTTGATACATTCTTCCCATTAATAGATTGAAATGCCCAATTATTCTAGACTTTGTATAAAAGTAAAGCGTGGTTTATAATCTACCATCATTCATTCGTTCGTTCATTCATTTGTTCTATTATTCAATAACTTGAAAATCTTTATTTAGAATCTGTGTCCAGATCTTACTGATGACCAAAATAGCCAAGGTTCCTGTCCTCATGGAATTTACATTCTAAAGTGAGAGTGGAGGAGCATTTTGAAAGACAGAAAACAATTTCTGAAAGTAAGATACAGTGACTAGGTGAAGGAGGAGTTTTAAAAATAATGTGGTCAGATAATATTTCGAATAAGATCATAATGATGAGATGGAACCAGCCTGGGAAAAAGCATTCCAAGAGAAGATATCTTAGTATTGGCCAAAATCAGACCATTTTCTAGGCTCACTCTGTCCTTGCTTTTTTTAAACATAATGAAATGGAAGTTCAAAGATGCCAGGAGACAAAGACCAGTCAAAGACTTTTTAAGCTTTCTTTATTCCTAATGCAAGACAATATTCAGATATTACTCAGATAGCTTTCTACCCTCTGCCAAGGGGTGAGTTACACCAAATGCATGCTTCTATTCCGACCTCAGACCCAAGTCACTCACTTGGATAAAGGAGCCCCAGGCATACTCTGGCGACTGTGTCAAAGGTGACTCACTTGGAATGGAAACAAAGGCCTGAGTAAGGTTTCCTCACCTCACCTGAGGCACTAAGGATCAAGTGCCTTTCTGCTTTCCAAACAGAAACATTAAAAGATTAAGCAGCATCATTTCAGATCTAGGAGAAACTTTTCAGAGGAATTTTATAAACATCACATGTTCTCTTCCCTTGTTACAATATGAATAATGTATCTGATGGAAAAGAACATTCAGATCTTGGTATAACTTTCTTAATAGTCACAATTTGTTAATTTTACCTTCTTTCCCAAGAGAAAAGGAAAGATCATGAGTTCCAAGGGGCCTTCTTGCCCATAAAGGCAAACTGGAATGAAAGTCTCCCATAGGAAAGTGTTTAGGCCCTAGGGCAAGTGTGACTTTCGTGTGATTTAGGAATAAAAAGACTAGAGGCCAGAATTAGTGAACATGTAGCGATGAGGTTGAAGAAGCAGGCAAGGGACAGGCCATGGTAGTTTAATAATGGATCATTAAAAAGTTACATCATCAAATGCATGTCAACATTTAGTAGAATTCATTTATACCTTTCAGAATTGTGTCAGTAAAATATTATTGAATAGTATTGATTTCATGAACAGGTTAAAATTACACCGAGACAAATATAGTCTACTGATTTTTGACAAATGCACAAAGGCAGGTCAATGGAGAAATTTTCCATACAGGTATTGAATTATTCCAGAACCACTTGTTGCATTTGTTGAATAGACAATTCAACAAATGCAACAAGTGGTTCTGGAATAATTCAATACCTGTATGCAAAATTATACACACACACACACACACACATATATACACATATATGTACATATATATGTATGTACATATATATGTACATATATATACACATATATGTACATATGTATGTACATATATATATACATATATATGTACATATATACGTAAATAAATAAAAAAGAACCTAGACACGAACCGTACATATTTTACAAAAATTAATTCAAGATGAACCATAAATTTAAATGTAAAATGTAGAACTATAAAATTTCTAGAAGAAAACATGAGAAAATCAACATGATCTTGGGCTTGGAGAAGAATTTTGAGATAAAACACCAAAAGTGTGATTTATTAAAAAAACAACTGAAACTTCAACTTTATTACAATTAAAATGTGCTCTGTGAAAGACACTGTTAAGAGAATGAAAAGATAAGCCACAGTCTTGGAGAAAATATTTGTAAAACATATATCTGATAAAGAACTAATCCTGACCATTGAGATGGCTTATCAAGGGATTGGTAGGTCAGGGTCTCCTATAAAACATCTCCTTGGATATACAAAGATATTGTGTTAGATCTCCCCAGTCATTGTTAATAATGCCTTTTCCTGATGAACAAAGGATTTGAGATCTGCGTGGTCATTTGAGAATAATTCTGGCCTGATGCCCTCAATTTACAGGATCTGCAAATGAAGAGAATCAGGGACCTGGGTCCCTGAACAGTTCCATATATACATAGCTAGTTTGTCAGTGGCAAAACTAGGATTAGAAACCAGCACACTAAAAGTGTCTCTCACTAAATATGGGGTTTTTAAATGAATGCGATAATTGAAAAACACTCTCACCAGAATAGAACACAGCAACAAAATAAGCCTCACATGTCATTCTCTTATCTAGATAATTCAGTATTTTATTAACTTTTAAATTTACTGTGACACACTGGTAACTCCTACTTAACTTGTGGTTTTTATGATTCTGTATCAATTCTTATCATACATTTGCAAAATAAGTTATGCCCTAGCTTGCTTTTGTATAGATTTCTTCTTTTACCAGTTATATTTTTGTGCTCTGCGTGTGTCAACATAGAATTAGTTGAATGTATAGTCCTTTTGAATTCCATTTGACATAATATGCTTCAAAAAGTCAAACCCTAGGACCAAATAAATATTTTTACTTAAGTTAGTATGTATTGTATCTATTACATGCCCCCTCAATTTATCATATGTATCGATCATTATTATTTAAAAAGTTAGAACAGTATTTACTCCTTTAAATCTCAATGGGGAAATGTGGAAAATCAAAC